TCGTGTGTGTGTGTGTGTGTGTGTGTGTGTGTGTGTGTGTGTGTGTGTGTGTGTGTGTGTGTGTGTGTGTGTGTAAACAGGAAACCGCTGCTGAGTCCTCACTAGTGACGGGTGAATTTCCCTCTCATTGGCACAGGTGGGTGGAGAGCTCTACACCCTCCCACTGACAATGGACAACGGGAAACTTCGGATCAACCAGGAAGGGAACAACATCATTGTCCAGTCTGCCTCTGGCCTCCAAGTCTTTTATGACACTGCCTCCTACCTCGTAGTGTCCATCCCCAGCACCTACAAGGGACACATGTGCGGCTTGTGCGGCAATTTCAATGGTGACAAAAACGATGACTCCCTGCTGCCCAATGGAAAGAGCACCCAAAGTTTGAGCGAGTTTGTCATTTCCTGGAAGGTGCCTGTTGATGGTGCCATGTGCTCCGATGGCTGCGGTGAGAGATGTCCCATCTGTGATGGGGCCCAGACAGCACCGTACCAGTCCGAGAGCTCCTGTGGGCTGATCAGAGCCACCTCAGGTCCCTTCAGAGATTGTCACTCGCTGGTCAGCCCTGCCACTTACTTCAACCACTGTCTCCACGACATGTGTGCTACCAACGGGACGGGAGAGACCCTCTGCCAGAGCCTCCAGGCCTACGCGGCCGCATGCCAGACAACTGGGGCCAAGATCAGAGCCTGGAGAACAGCCTCCTTCTGCCGTGAGTTTATAGAGCAACCTACAGCCCTGGTCTTTCCATTGGCTTCATTTCAAGCCCATTAGCCCCTAGAAGATTTTTTTTCCTGATGGCAACTTAGAGCTCAGATTTATTATATCTTGGAGTGTTTGTGGCCCCTCTGTAGCCACGTCATCTGCAGCATGCCTGATTGCAATTTACGCACCTGTGTTTTTGATTGGTTTTGTCCAGCCCCAGACCACCCTTGGGTCAGATCTCCATGGGTCTTTGGGTCAGGACTGGAAGAACATCAGTGACCCAATGGGGGAAATACTGTCCTCTGGCTCTGACTCCAATGTCTGGTGCTCTGGGACACTGCACTGCAGTAAATGCTACGGTTAAGCCATATCTGAGGTGATCCCACCACTGAGTCAACCCCCCGCAGCAGCCAGCACTGAGCTAGGTGGCACTGTGCTAGACAATGTAACTATGTCTCCAGTGGAAATTATTTTTAAACCTTCACTCCATCCTCTTTCTCTCTTGCTTCTCTCTCTCCAGCCCTTGCCTGCCCACTCAACAGCCACTATGAGCTGTGCACCAAGTCCTGCGATTTCACCTGTGCTGGCTTGTCTGCCCCTGCTCAGTGCACCCAGAAATGCTTTGAAGGCTGCCAGTGCAATAGTGGCTATATGTTTGATGGGGAGGAGTGCGTGTCCATGGACAGGTGCGGCTGCATGCACGATGGACGCTACATCAAGGTGAGTCCTGGCTGTTCTGTGCAGTTGGTGCCCTCAGAGCCTTAGAATAACAGGGTAGAACTGGTAAAAAGTGTATGAGTTTTCTAAGAGTTTCCAGTGGACTCCACCAATAGAGAACAGATTTCATTAGTATGCTTCAGTCTTCACGGCTGAGGATGTTAGGGAGATTCCCAAACCTGAGCCGTCCTTTCTAGGTAACAAATCTGAGGAATTGTCACGGATTGAAGTGTCCCTAGAGGAGGTTTTGGAATGAATTGATAAACTTAACAGTAACAAGACACCGGGACCAGATGGTATTCACCCAAGAGTTCTGAAGGAACTCAAATGTGAAATTGCGGAACTATTAACTATGGTTTATAACCTGTCCTTTAAATCAGGTTCTGTACCCAATGACTGGAAGATAGCTAATGTAACGCCAATATTTAAAAAGGGCTCTAGAGGGGATCCCAGCATTTACAGACCGGTAAAAGGAAATTGTCTTACTAATCTATTAGAGTTCTTTGAAGGGGTCAACAAACATGTGGACAAGGGGATCCAGTGGACATAGTGTACTTAGATTTCCAGGAAGCCTTTGACAAAGTCCCTCACCAACGGCTCTTACATAAATTAAGTTGTCATGAGATAAGAGGGAAAATCCTTTCATGGATTGAGAACTGGTTAAAAGAGAGGGAACAAAGGGTAGGAATAAATGGTAAATTCTCAGAATGGAGAGGGGTAACTAGTGGTGTTCCCCAAGGATCAGTCCTAGGACCAATCCTATTCAACTTATTCATAAATGATCTGGAGAAAGGGGTAAATAATGAGGTGGCAAAGTTTGCAGATGATACTAAACTGCTCAAGTTAGTTAAGACCAAAGCAGACTGTGAAGAACTTCAAAAAGTGATTGGGCAACAAAAGTGATTGGGCAACAAAATGGCAAATGAAATTTAATGTGGATAAATGTAAAGTAATGCACATTGGAAAAAATAACCCCAACTATACATACAATATGATGGGAGCTAATTTAGCTACAACTAATCAGGAAAGAGATCTTGGAGTCATTGTGGATAGTTCTCTGAAGACGTCCACGCAGTGTGCAGCAGCAGTCAAAAAAGCAACAGGATGTTAGGAATCATTCAAAGAGGGATAGAGAATAAGACGGAGAATATCTTATTGCCCTTATATAAATCCCTGGTACGCCCACATCTTGAATACTGCGTACAGATGTGGTCTCCTCATCTCAAAAAAGATATACTGGCATTAGAAAAGGTTCAGAGAAGGGCAACTAAAATGATTAGGGGTTTGGAACGGGTCCCATAAGGAGAGATTAAGGAGGCTAGGACTTTTCAGACTCCTCCTTGGAAAAGAGGAGATTAAGGGGGGATATGATAGAGGTATATAAAATCATGAGTGGTGTGGAGAAAGTGAATAAGAAAAAGTTATTTACTCATTCCTATAATATAAGAACTAGGGGCCACCAACTGAAATTAATGGGCAGCAGGTTTAAAACAAATAAAAGGAAGTTCTTCTTCACACAGCACACAGTCAACCTGTGGAACTCCTTGCCTGAGGAGGTTGTGAAGGCTAGGACTATAACAGGGTTTAAAAGAGAACTAGATACATTCATGGAGGTTAAGTATATTAATGGCTATTAGCCAGGGTGGGTAAGGAATGGTGTCCCTAGCCTCTGTTTTTCAGAGAGTGGAGATGGATGGCAGGAGAGAGATCACTTGTCCATTACCTATTAGGTTCACTTCCTCTGGGACACCTGGCATTGGTCACTGTCGGTAGACAGGATACTGGGCTGGAGGACCTTTGGTCTGACCTAATATGGCCATTCTTATGTTCTTATGACAGACTAGGTTTCATTTTTCCATCTTCATTTCCTGGTCTTTAATTTTGGTTTATGGTTCTCATTCTGTTCAGATGTCATTTCCGTGGCCTGTCATCATGATCTGTCATTGTTGCCGTCCTTCTTGACTGTGGTTGGTCAGCACCTTCTTCTGTTATCTTTTCCTTCTTTCTTTGGTCATCATGCTTATCCTTTATATGTTCCCCTCTATTTTGCCTGCCTTGTCTATTTAAATGTTAAGCTCTTTGGGGCGTGGGCTCTCTCACTGTATGTTTGTACAGTGTCTGGCACAATGAGGCCTCATTCTTGACTGGCCCCTAGGCACTACCATAATAAATACAAAATAATTGTCCTTGTTTCTTGAGTCATGTCCATTGTCTTTTGTCTTTTCCTTCTTTCTTGGGTCATTGACATTATTCCTTGTCTTTTCCTTCTTTCTTCGGTCAGCACTGACATCCTTTGTCTTTTCCTTATTTCTGTAAAAGTCACTATCATCCTTTAATTGCTTGTTTCCTTGATCTTCACAGTCATCCTTTGTCTTTTCCTTCTTCCTTTGATTGGTATCCTTTTTGGTTGACACCATCATTCTTTGAAGTTTCCGTGTTTCTTTGATCCTCACCATTCTCCTTTATCTTCTCCTTGTTTCTTGGGTCATTGCCTTTGTCTTTCTGTTCTTTATTTGGTCATTCTCTTCATCCTTTGTCTTTCCCCATCTGGTCTTTCATCTCCTCTTGGTGAGAGTTTCCCTAGGTATTCTAACACTGTTGAGGTTGATCTTGGGAGGCTAATATCTGACCTAACAGAAAGTTTTAGAAAGTTGTTTATTTTGGAATTTCCCTCAGTCCAGGGAGAATGTCATCTCCAGTGACTGCTCAGAGAAATGCACTTGCCACCCATCAGGTGGGCTCATCTGTGAGAAAAACAGCTGCACCACTGGCGAGATCTGCGTGCTCAGGGATGGGATGCATGGATGCGCGAAGCAGGAAGGCCGGTGCATGGTCTCTCCGGGCGCTTACCTCACCACCTTTGATGGTGCCAAGGGGAAACTCCTCTACAGTGGGACGTACAAAGTGGCCTCGCTCTGTGACGAGAGCTCTCCTGCCTGGTTCAAGGTGGTGGTAGACATCAGCAGTTGCACCAATGACGGAATACCAGCTTGTGCGGCCATCTTTGTTTTTTTCCGAGAAGCTCTTATCACTGTGAACAATAACATGGAGACCTGGGTAAGAGGGGGCCGGGTTGGAACATGCTGAGCCAAGGGGGCAAAAGCTTCCTACATCAGTTGGAGCCCAAGTGAACAATCCTTCACTCTGATCTAGTGTCTCCAAGGCCTTGATAACTATTAGTGAATTAATCCCCATAACCCCTACCTGGGACTAAAGTAAGGGGCAGGAGGGGGAAAATACCAGAGCTTGTTGGGAATCTTCAGACAAAATGTTTTTTTTCATCAGGAAATATCAATTTGTCAAAACCGAATCTGTTTGGGAGGGTCAATTTCAATAAATCTCCCAATTCAAAAAACTGTTGAAAAATCCGTAAAGAAATTGTTGAAACGTCCCATTTTTGACCTTTTCTAAATGACAAGTTTCGGTTTTCAGTTCAAAACAACTTCTCATTTAGAAATGTTAGTTAATTTATAAAAACAAAAAAAGTTTAAACATTTTTAAAAATCAAAATCAAAACGAATCATTTCAAAGTTATGGAAATGAAACATTTTACTTGATCTGATCCAAAACAATTTTCAGATTATCAGGTTTTTTTCAACATTTTGACTTTTCTTCCCATTTGAGGATGGCAAAAAATGTCAAAATCTCAATTATTTTCATGGGATGGGAAAACAATTTCCCTCTCAGCTCTAGAAAATAGAGATCCCTATGTCTGCTGAAAGAAAAGGACATGGCCCTATCTCTCTCTAGCTCTTTGAGCAGTGGTTGGACTAGATGACCTGCTGAGATCCCTTCCAATCCTGATAGTCTATGATTCTATGAAAGTACCCTTCCCTATTGCTCTCGGAGAATGCAAGGAGATCTCCCACTATGGTTTCAATCTGCTTTGACCATTGAATGGGACAGGCCTTAGTATCCCCAGAAACACAGGCATAAACTGATCAAATGTCTTGCCAAGGTCAAATAGGGAGTCAGCTGAGCAGTTGGGAATAGAACCCAGGAGTCCTGACTACAGGCTCTCCTTGCTCTAACCACCAGACCCCTCCCAGAACCCAGAACAGAGCCCAGGAGTCCCCCTGCAGCTGCATCCACTAGATCTTATTCTAGACCCCATTGACTTGTAACATAGTCCATGGACTCAAAATCCCATTGACTTGTAACGGGGCCCATGGACTCTAGCTCAGTCCCTGCTGCTCCATCTCACTCACCCCCACATCCCCCAGTTCTCCCCCAGGGGGCGGCGAGATGTATGGACCCGTGGTGCCCGGGCTCCAGCAATATTCAGGGCCTGGGGCCCAGCTCCAACAATGTTTGGGTAGGGTTACCATATTTCAGCAAGCAAAAAGAGGACGGGAGGAGCCCCGCCCTAGCCCCGCCCCTGCCCCTCCCACTTCCCGCCCCCC